GTTATTGGAAATCCCACAAAAAAATGTGCATATGTAACATCTACATTCCACCAGATACAAAATTCAATATCAATGATTTGTACAATCTCACTCAACAATTACCAAAGCCTTACGTTTATCTTGGGAGATTTCAACGCTCATAATACAATATGGGGATGTACATCGACTAATCGGAGAGGCAGCAAACTTGAGACGTTCATCAATAAATCGAACCTTGTACTTCTTAACTCTGGTGAAATAACCAGATTCAATTCGATACTGGCAAACAATCCGCTCTCGATTTAGCATTTTGTCACCCCAACCTTTCCTGCAAATTATCTTGGACTGTTTTATCGGACCCGTATGGTAGTGATCATTTTCCTATTATCCTTAGAGCTGATGTACAAGATTCACCGCCTATATTCCGTCCTAGCTGGCGGCTTAGAAATGTTAGCGACAACGACTGGACACGTTATGGAATCCTTATGAAGGAAAAAATTCCAAATGTATTTCCCAATCCGGTACAAGACATTAATCTGCTTGTTGAGGAACTGTCTGGAAGTATTCGTTGAATCAGCATCCATAGCTATTGGAAAATCAACCCAGTTTTCGCACCATCAACCTGTTCCGTGGTGGAATAAAGAATGCCAAAAAGCAACAAAAGAAAGCAAAACGGCTTTCAATAAATTGAAAAGACACCCCTCTACTGAGAATAAGATAGAATACAATAGACTCAGAGCTCGTCAAAGGTATATAATTAAACAGAGCAAACGTACTTCATGGGCACAATACGTCTCAACTTTGAATCATTCCACACCAATGTCTGAGGTATGGATGAAAATCAACCGCATTAAAAGATTGAGAAGTCATGTAGGTTTTTCATCTCTGATTGAAAATGGAAATAGTATTACAAATAGTCAGGAAATTGCTAACTTGTTAGCCGAAAACTTTCAAAAACAATCAAGTAATGCGAATTACGATCCTGACTTTTTAGAAATGAAAGAAAGAATTGAGACACACCCATTAAATATCGAATCTCAGGCGGAGAACCCCAGAAACACGTGTCGCGATTTTTGTAAAACCCTTATAGTGAAAATCATACAAATAAACTGTATTGATTAGTTGTTTAACTTTTTTATATCTACATTTATATTTTTTTGTACTTTTTCTATATTAATATTGTATTTCTTGGACTTTGTCAATAAGATGCAAATCTTCGGACAATAAAGTATATTTTGTTTTGATTTGAAATAACCTGATTATTCCTCAGCAAAGTGGTTTTCGTATGTATCGTTCGACCACAGATAACCTAGTAAATCTACAGTCAGATATCCATGAAGCCTTCGCCAATAGAGAAAGCCTTATTGCAGTCTTCTTTGATATAAATAGAGCCTTCGACACTGTATGGAGACGCAAAGTTCTCAATCAACTTAATCAATGGGGAATACAAGGAAATATGCTTGCTTTCATATCCAATTTTCTGTCAAATAGATCTTTTTCGGTTAGAGTTGATGGTAAATTATCTGAAACCTTGACACAAGAAAATGGCATTCCTCAAGGATCGGCACTCGGTGAGACTCTTTTCCTCATATCCATTAATGAAATTTCAGATGGTTTTAAAAAGCCAGTGGGGGGTAATCTATATGCAGATTATTTAGTTTTATATGCAACAGGAAAGAATGTGATAACAATAAGTACCCAATTACAGAATGCACTAAGAAAACTTAAATCGTGGTCGGAATGAACAGGACTTAAGTTCTCGTCTACCAAAACAAAATGTATTATATTTTCAAAGAAAACGGCAGATGGTTTAACCTCTCTTGAATTGAATAGTCAGCAACTGGAACTTTTAATAGTAAACTGAAATGGGACACTCACATCAAAAATCTTAAGAAGTCCTGCCAAAATGGCCTAAATCTAATGAAAGTATAAGCCAATCACACATGGGTAGCCGATAGTACTACCTTGCTAAGGGTTTATCGAGCATTAATCAGAACTAAACTGGATTATGGACCCATCGTTTACTCTACGGCGAGAACATCTCTTTTGAAGTCCCTAGATGTCATCCAGAATGCGGCCCTAAGAATTGCTATGGGGGCGTTCTGTACCAGTCCTGTGGAAAGTTTACTTGTTGAGGCGGGAGAACCACCTCTCGAACTACGTCGACTCAACCTAATCCTAAGATATGCAGCAAAAATATCAGCAAATAAAAATAATCCTAGCTATCACAATACATTTTCTAATCGCTTCAGTGAAACATTTGAGTACTACCGTAATTCACAACTTCCTCTTTACGCCAGGATTCCCAAAATACCGAATAACCCAATGGTGAATCATAACATTCTCCCTCTGAACATAAAGATACCTCCTCCATGGACAATAGCCATTCCTGATTGCAATACCATCCTGACCCATTATCCCAAGAATGATATTTCTGCAATGCACATAAGAAGAGCTTTTTCTGAAGTGGCCTTCAAGTATGCGAACTACTCCCACATATACACAGATGCGTCTAAAACCAGTGAAAGTGTAGGGGCTGCAGTGATCACAGATCATGCAAGCTACAGTTATCGACTACCAACAGAAACTAGTATATATACGGGAGAACTATTCGCCATAGCCAAAGCTCTTGCGGACACTTTAGCTAGAGAGATAAGCTCAAACCCACACAGTCTATCAACTCGCTGTGTACCACATGAAGATTTGATCCATAAAATACGACAACTAACAATAAATACATGGAGAGAAAGATGGCATGCTCAGGAGAATAACAAGCTCAAAACAATCAATCCTAGCTTAAACTTCCAACATTACCTATCACTCTCTCGTGAACATCAGACAATTCTAACCCGTCTCAGGATTGGCCACACAAGGTATACCCACCAGCATCTACTGAAGAAAGAAAACCCCAAAAGATGTATTTCCTGTGATGAAGAATTAGATGTGAAACACATCATCAAGGTGTGTCCTTACTACAGAGAGGAGAGATTGTCAACACGACTACCTGAAGAACTCAGTGATAAGAGATGTTCCAGAAATCACTGGAGCGAATACTGATCTCTTGTGAAGGAACTACAAATTTCATTGATGATATTCTCGTGTTTGGCTCTGATGAAGCGGAACATGATAAAAAATTACAAATAACTATGAAAGTTCTTAATGAAAATAACGTGCTGCTAAATAGGGAGAAATGCGGCTTCAAAATGAAAAGGGTTCAATTTCTGGGCCATGAATTATCGCCAGAGGGAATCAAACCACGTGCCCGTTACATAGATGTCGTTAGATCTTTTCGTGAACCGAACACAATTGAAGAAGTCCAAAGCTTTCTTGGACTCATCAACTATATAGGAAAATGGCTGGCAAACCTTGCAACGCTCATAGAACCACTAAGGGAATTGTTGAGGTTGAAACTTGGAAAAACGCAAACGTGAAGAAGTATTGGACACAGCACCAGGCGAAAGCATTCCAAAATCTAAAGGTTGCCCTCATGAACATTCAATCATGGGGGTACTATAATCCGCACTTGAGAACCCAAGTGATAGCGGATGCCAGTCCAGTAGGTCTGGGATAAGTCCTCGTCCAGTTGGATAAAAGAGGGCTACGCATAATAAGTTTTGGAAACAGAAGTCTATCAGACTGTGAAAAGAGATATTGCCAGACCGAGAAAGAAGCCCTTGCCCTTGTATGGGCTGTCGAACACTTCAAAATTTATCTGTATGGGAAAAAATTGGTTACAGATCACAAACCTTTGGAGGTTATATTTGCACCAAGATCGAAACCATGTGCAAGAATCGAACGATGGGTACTTCGGTTGCAAGCTTTCAATTTCAAAGTCATTTACCGATCTGGAAAATCGAATATCGCAGATCCCTTATCGCGATTATGCATTAAAAAACCTGAAGTTTATGATCATTTCAATAATGACGACCATGTTCACAAAATAATGGAGTACTGCCGCCCTGTGGCTGTATCTCTGGAAAAAATCAAATTTTGGAAGCTGCTCATGAAGGACACCCGGAAATCATAGCTATGAAAAATCGGTTACGTACTGAAGTATGGTGGCCCAAAATAGACAAGAATGCAGAGAATTTGATGGAATCTTGCAAAGGATGCACATTAGTTTCCGCTCCAAACCCTCCAAATCCCATGAAAAGACGAGAACTTCCGGCAGCACCTTGGGTGGATGTGGCAATTGATTTCATGGGTCCTTTACCAAGCGCTGATTACTTGTTTGTTATTGTTGATTACTATAGCCGTTATAAAGAAATAAAAATCATGAAAAATATAACAACAGCAAACACGATCAAGGTGCTACAGGAAATTTTCTCTAGGCTTGGGAACCCCTGTTCAATTACACTAGATAACGGTAGGCAATTAAGCAGCAAAGAAATGAAAACCTTCTGTGAAGAAAATGGAATAACTCTTCACCACACCATACCATATTGGCCTCTCTTAAAAGAGACTGGCAACGAGATCTACTGGACTACTTGATAACGTATAACAGCACGCCTCATTCCGTAACTGGAAAAAGTCCTTCTGAACTGTTTTTCGCAGACAATTTCGTGATAAAATCCCCACTATATTAGGTACAGAATATAAAGCTTTTGATGCTGAGGTGAAAGATAGGAATAAGGAAATGAAAGAGGTTGGCAAAGAATATGCAGACAGAAAAAGAGACGAGATTTTTATAAATAATTACAGTTTGTCTACTGCCGTCATCAGATTTGTATTTTCTCTGAATTTTCTCTACATATTTTCTTCTTTTTTTTTTTAACCTTCTGGTTTCAGTAATTAGTCATAAAAAAAACTTTTTTCGAAACTTCCAACAAGAAAATAATCACATAAAAACATTTGAAAAATACAAATCCTAGGAATATAAGTATTTGATAGGAACTTGCAAGAAAATATAACAATACATATTTCCTGCTTTGTTCTTGAGAGCTCAAATACTACTCAGAGTTACTAGTTCATTTGTCTTAAGTTTAATAATTTTTCGGTTGTATTAATATTTTAATACTTACTGCATAGCATCCATGAGATCATCTAGCAAACCATCATCAAGGTATATCCAAAATTTGGATAAATCATAAACTTCACCAAGCTTAATGTCGATGCTGTCATTCTCTGATGTTACTTTCGAAACAAATGCTCGAGGAATTTCCTTACCGGGTTTGAATGTGCCTGGTGGTAAAAATCTCATAACATCTTCCCACTAAAAATTTAAACTTAACTAGAGATTTTCAGCAAATTGTATTTGTTCTTCAACATATGCTTGTTGAAATACATTGTACTTACCAACAACCATCAATACCACAAGATAAAAAAGGAATGTTACAGAAAAATTATCAATATATTTCAGATATTGTTGAAAGAATATTATTTGTCAATGTCAATGTTGTAATTTTATTAAAACAACGATAAAAATGAAAAAGACAATAAAAATTAATTGGCGCTCCGGGACGACTTCATTGATTCCAGTGGAGCATTTGCTTTTTCAGCTGCAGGAAAACCCGGAAAAACCTGCAGCANTTCAGAAAATAGGATGACAAATGTTTCAAATGGAGAAAACTTGAGTTTTTTTCAGAATACTCATTCTTCAATTATATTGCAACATTAGATGTCACATGCAAATTTAAAGAAATAATGAAATATTGAACAGTAAAACAGAGGTAAAATAATATGAGCCAACAATCAAAAGTGAAATTATCCAGATTGAATATCAAAAAAATTTTTATATGACTCTGGCAGTAAAAATATTTATAAGAAAAATCAAATAATCCTAAACTATACTTATACATGAACTCCGACATTAAATACCATCTCAACTCATTTTTTGATTTCAAAGCAGTTGAGGCTTTTTAAATGTCTTCAGAAATTGTGTTTCATATACTATATGTCCATCGTGATAAATCGATTTCTGTACAAAATTAGATTTGAATTTTCTGATAACAATTTTATTTGTATGCTATTATTATTAAGAACATAATTGATTTCTATGAAATTTATGTTTCAATTTTTCATTCATTAGTTATTCAATGAATGAAACAACAATAATTACTTATATTGAAAATAACTTACATCTATACTCGGCAGAGCTGCCCCACCTTCCTTATCTGATTTGGCATCATTACTATAACTTGCAATAGTAAAAACTTTTTCAGCGGAATCAGGTAGTGGTTTTCTTCGGTCATATAATTTAAAATCATCAGTGGAAGGCCTGACATAGTGAAAAATTGAGTTTAAACTTGTACAAAGATGTATTAAGCTCCTAAACCCAAATTCTTCATACTTCAATTCTCTTCTAAACATTTGCCTGAAATGGAAAACAGTTACTTATATTTCAATGAAATGTTTTCTGTTCATTTATGAGGTAATTAATTTATTATTCAGTTAGGAATTTGTTCAAGTGAAATTTTTTTTTGCTAAATGGTGTGGGTTTCAGCCTCAATTACCTAATAGATACATAGATTCAAGAATAAGATAAAAAATACATAAATATAAATGAACATAGGAACAGACAGATTCAGTTGTTAAATAATTGAAATAAGACCAAAAATGAGAAAAAATTATAATTCCACTTGAATTTTTTGAAAATAGCATTGGTTCTGAGGGGTCATTCTGCCACAAATCATTACTTAGACTATATAGGATTTGAACCTATGACAAGGTAGTATTAATTACTACTATTATTATACTGTATCCGACTACAGCTATAGCCACTTGTAGCTACTCGTTTGTTTGGATGAGAAAACTCTTTTTGTAAAAAATATTTTTGCATATATAAATATTGTAATCTACCAATTCAATAGAACTTTATTGCGCTGATAAAAATACATTTTGAACAAGTCACCCAATACAATGGAACCTCTCAAGGATCCATTTTGGGCAGTACACTTTTTCTGATTGCAATCAATGACGCAGTCGAACATGTCCATAATCCTGTTGAAACCAGCTTATATGCCGACGACTTAATAATCTACTAACCAGGAAAGAACATGAGAACCATTCGAACCAGGCTCCAAGAAGCAGTTCATGGTAAAAAAAATTGCTAGATACTACAGGTTTCCAAACCTGTAGTATCTAGCCAAACAGGTTTTTTTACCGACTCAAAATTCGGATTCAGAAGAGAGAGATCAACGTCGCAAGCTGTTCTGAAGGTGGTGAGTAATGTGATCGAGGGCCTTGAGGAGGGCAAGATAACCGCCATCACACTCTGCGAC